TTGACATCAATCATGCACACACGAGTCTTATCCTTACTCTAGCAGCAGGACACTGCTGTGTCGTCCAACTCAATCACCCTCCCTGTCGGTAGAGAGAAGAAAGAGTGCTCGCGTTGTATTTCATCGGCTCATCCCGCTGAAGCCTGACGTCTTCTTACTACATTGATTGATTGGTCGGCTTGGTTGGCTGGTAAGCGTGACCGCTGCTGCTACAGCAGTAGTTCAAGCAAGAAGCACATCGCAATCGAGACACAACAGACAACACACGCACGCACACATGCATATGCATGTCAACCATGCTGGATCGGTCTTGCTTTCATAGCGTGACCCGTGCATCTCGCATATAGACTGCAGCAAGCAGTAGTCCACGGGGTATTGTACGTGTGTGTGCATGTTTCCAAACGGAACAGTTGTGCTGGGGTGTTGCCCGGCCATTGTTTATTTAGAGCGGAAGAGTTGATGGTTGGTGTTGTTTCGCAGGGGCGGAAACTGATTCCTGCCCCGTTGCCATGGTTGTTATTCGGCGGGAAGATTCGCCGTTTGGTATCCCATGGTTGGAGGCGAAAAGGAGTTGGGAAGATTCCTGCGGGGGAAATGTTTGATGAAAGGGCCTCTTTTCCCGTCAGGTCAGGGTACATTTCCGAAAACAGGGTACAGTTGTTGAGAAAAGTAGTCACGGCAGGGTATACCCTGCGCCTTTTCGGACGCAGCTGGGTGAAATTGGGCACTGACCAATGATATGCGTGCATTTACTGCTGTTAATTACTGTGTACCCAGGTGTGTCGCTTTTCGACCAGGGTATACCCTGTTGTGCCGTTTCCCTTAATAATAACAATAATAATAATGATAACAATAATAATAATAATAATAATGAAGTTCCCATGGAGTAGGACAAAAAAAGAGAGGCTCGCCTGTTGGAGGTGGCTCTGCTGAGAATTGGAATGATGCTCTGTTTCGTAGAAGAGGGTGCGCGGCTAAGGATAGCACGGCTTAGAGGGGGCTTCCCTTCCCCTCTTGCGGGAACTACAACCCCGTGCACGAAACAAGTTGTTTCTGTTGCCGGTAGGGGCGAAACGCGATATGGCTTGTGGGGATGGAAATGTTCAAATGCTCTCTTCCATTGCAGCATCGAGATACAAACGAGTGTTGAGAGGCGTAGGCAACAAGGATACGCGTGAGTTGGGGGAAGAAGCGTCGACGGAAAACTCAGACGGTGACAGGGTAAACATGGGGCTTTCAACAGCAGCAGCAGCAGATGATAACACAATGTCGCGGTGGTTCTCGGAGAAGGCGGTGGTTTCCCGGAAGGAGAAAAGCTTACCGTCCGCGACAGCGGAGACGAGGCCCAAAAATGTCGCTCTTAAGTGGGCGAAGTAGCTGGACACAGGTGTCCTGGCAGGCTCCATAAGAATCAGAAGCGGTTGCCCTGTCTCGGTATTTGGAGGCGTCGTCAAGAGGCGAAAACGCCCACCGAGAGGAAACAACAAGCAAGTTACGCCCCCCCCCCCCTGCTCGTGTGCGCGCGCCGTGTTTCCTTTTTTTTCTTGTTTTTCGCGCCTTTGCAGCTGTACCTCCGAGTGCAGGAGGATGGTTTTTGCACTTTTGCTGACGGCCGGCTGCAGCCGGCGTTAGAGGCCCTGGCGATGCTGGCGAAGGACGACACCCTCGTGGACGGGTTCAACACCGTCCGCTTCGAGATCAGGTGCAGTACATACGTATCCACGGGTGTTATTATGTTGTTGTTGTTGTTTACACATTAGAAACCGTTCCGGTCTCCGGGTTCCCGGGCGCACCCTCTCAGGGGGCAGTCTCGTTCTTGCGCGTTTGCGATATGTAGATTATTTTCTGAGGGTTCGAGTTACAGACAGACGTTGGGGGGATGCACTTGAACCCGGGTTCTCTGCCACCGAAGTCAGACATCTCTTCGTCAACGCCAATGTTGTCGTTGTCGTTGCTGTTGCATTCGCATTAGTAATAGTTGGGTCTAAAGTATGCTCAGCACCTTTTTTAATATCCGTACTGGTCCAACTGACGCGGTCCGTAGTCTCAGGCTAGCTGCCCACGAAAAGGGTGCACCTTCGCGAAAACAAGCGCGTCCAGCGTCGCCCCGTTTCTTGCCCGAGAGGTTGGGGAGAGGCGAAGATGCGTGTATCTCGGAAACAAGTTTTGTTTGCTCCACCAACCCCATCCCCGACCACTTATGCATGCGCCACGAAGCTGAGCCACAGGGATATATACCAAAACCTCTTTTGTTTGCCGAGGCTCTCTTCTTGTTTTGCCGGTACAAGACCAAAGGCTGGGGGGCCAACAATGGTTGACGTTCGCCGACCGACTGCTCTGCCACAGTTTTCGGATTTGGGCTTGGTGTCATCATCGTAAAAGCCTACTGGTATCTATTGCAACGTCTGGAGGTTTAGGGCCGTCAGCTTTCCGGCCGCAAGGACTCGGCGGAGTGTGCCTGTGCCGCTGCTGGTTGCTCACCTCCTGGTCACAATGCCAGTACCTATGCATACGTAATGCACGAATCGTGGGCATTTGTCTGCACTTGGTTTGATTGGACATCTGGGGGCTCTGTCTCTCTCTCTCCCTGTCTCTCTCACACTCTTCCTGTCTCTGTCTGTCTTTCTGTCTGTCTGTTTGTCTCTGTGTCCCCCCCCCCCTATTTCTGTCTCTCCCTCTCTCCCTCCTTCCCTCTCTCTCTCTCTCTCTCTCTCTCTCTGTCTCCTCTCTCTCTGTGTGTGTGTCGCTGTCCTTGTCTGTTTCCCTCTCGGTCTTTCTCTCTCTCTGTGTGTCGCTGTCCCTGTCTGTTTCCCTCTCGGTCTTTCTCTCTCTCTGCCCCCCACCCCCCTCTTTCTATCTCTGTCGATCTTGTAACGCCACCGCCCTACCGCCGCCCAGGTACCTGCGGGACCCGAGGGTCCTCGTGGCCGAGTGCTTCGCCTTCGTGTGGGACGTCAACACGCCCATGATCGTGGTCGACATCGACGGCACCATCACCAGAAGCGACGTCTCGGGGTTGATGATGACGCTCAGCCCGGGCCTAGTTACCAACCACACCCACGAGGGCATCTGCTCGCTGCTGGCCCGCATGGTCGACGAAGCGGTGAGTGAAAATGTTTTTTTTTTTTTTTCGGACTTGCTTTTTGCGTGTGCATCTTCTTCCTGTTCCTGCGGAATTCGTGTCGAAACCAATCCCACCGACGGGTGGCCATATCGACTACTCAAATTCTGCAGGGGATGAAACCGTTTCTTGTGGACAGAATGTTTGTGTCTTCCTGTTCCTCGATTCCGTGACAAAACCGACCCCGCCGCCGGGTGACCAATGAGCGTAGGTCAAGTCTCGTCGCCCGACTACAAACGTTCTCGCCTGACCTACAGCGTGCTGCCTTTTCCCTCCCTCGACCCGCCATCCGCATGCTTTGTGGTTGGGGTTGCTTTTCTCGGCCATGACACGCCGCCGCTGATCGCGCGGGCGCGCCGGGGGTGGGGGGGGGTGCAGGGGGCCCAGGTGGTGTACCTTACGTCCCGGCCCATCTCTCTTGCGGCCAAGACCCGCACCTTCCTTGCCTCGACGGAGCAAGAGGGGAAGAGGCTACCCCTGGGCCCTCTACAGTGTTGCTTGGAGAAAGTCAGCGGCGTTTTGTGGCGTGAGGTGCGGCGTATGTGTCTGTTTGTGTCCGTCTCTATAGCATCGACCGACCGCAGACCTTGAGGCCCGGTAACAACGATTTTCGAAAATATATAATACATAAACAATCGAGGTCTGAGTAGATCCAAGATCAGAAGAAAAAAACTTGTGGGTTAAAAATGATGGCTTGGCTTGCTACTTCCGCGATTGGTGTGGCGAAAAGATCCAAAGGTCGTAACAGGTAGCTTTAACCCGCTACAGATGGCAGGCAGCCTCCACTTGCTACTACAACCCCCTTCTCCGGCCGCGTCTTGTTTTCCGTCCGTTGTCCCCCCCCCCTCCTGGTCCGGTGAGAACCCGGCGTGCTCCGTCCCGGCTTTGTAGGGATGCGAGGTCAATGGTCAAACGACTACGGCATGCACGACTATGAGTACACCCCCCCCCCCCCCCCCCCCCCCA